TCGGATTGCAACAGGTACGTAAATTTACTCGTGTTGCTGGTTAAATCATCCACGTCCGCCCCACGTCCTACCAATAGAAACAAGAGTGAGTCACTGCAGGACAGTGGCTGCAGCCAGCTCTGCAGGTGAAGGGCAGGAGAACAGCAGACACCCTTGTTCAGTTTGGGGGGGTGGGGGGAGTCGCCACCTGCAGATATCACAGATGCTTTTGAACAAGTCCCATGTGTCTGTCAAAAGAGGAGCTCTGGGGATGACATACTGAATTCTGTAGCTGCTCTAGGTGAAACCAGCTGGACTTTTTAATGTCAACATGCACATGTTAAGTTAGGCAGAGGAGGCATGAACCACAGATTTCAGAGAGGCACGGTTATGTGGAGCATCAGAAAAAGGAAAGATGCCCTCTCCGTAGGTTAGTGAAAAATTAAGATCAAGAAGCATCTGAGCCTAGATACAAAATCAAGAAATAACTGTAATATTATAATGCAAAATTGAAACAATTTTATTTAGCTGCCTTTGTTATTTAAGGGTCATTTGTTTTTCCCCTAACCAATTCAGCTCTTTGTTTTGCCTCTCAGGTTAAGTTACAGAAAGCTGAATAACTGTACACAGAAATAGTACAGAGAGATGCACTTTTTTTTTTTTTTTTTTAATCTGTAGTTATGGTTTCTGACAGTCTTCCCCCCAGCCTTTTAACAGAGAGCAAAATGTCAACTGATTTTTAAAGATCAGCAAATAAGATCTCCCTTATAACCAGGAAAACTAGTAGTAACTTGTGTCTTGAGTGTAGTATACGCATTTGTGTTGGTCAAGCTGGTGTGAGTGAAAAATGTCAAAAAATGTGTGGTGAAAAATGACAGGGATGAATTTGAATGGATAGAGAAAGTCATGTGGGATCTTAAGTACTGGGATGAAACATCATGCACAAATATAATTTTAAGTGTTCATTAGATCACAGTATTTGGGGATTTCAGTGAATATTGACAGAAGACATGCATGAAAAGGAAGGAGAGCAGAAACCAGAAATACAGAGAAATAGGAGTGGGATGCTGAAAAACATGGGATTGTGAACTGTACAAGAGGGGAAGTGTGGAAGATGCAGACTATGTCACAGATCAATATCTCTGCAGTCATCTTTGACTCATAGCAAGTCCAGATGAGTCTTAATACACTGTAAAAGAATTTTGATTCAAATGAAAACTTAAAAAATAAGGACTTTTAATACAGATGGCATTTTATAAAAGTACTTTTTATTTTTTCTGAACATAATATGACAAAATGTATTTGGTATCTGGTGCTACCTAACCGCTCCTTTCCCTATCCCATTCCCTTTTCACTGCTCATTACACTGACAGTTCACGCAGATATAATGCCTTATGCCATCCTTAAGTGAGGTCATAGGTGGGGTTAATGTTTGTCACTTGTACCCTCCGCTCCCACTAGATTAGCTGCTAATTAATATAAATATGGGCCTTCATTAAAAATAATAATAGCAACAACAAAACAGAAAAATCTCACAATCTGCCTGAAACGTCTGCCATTTTCAAGTAGATGTGAGGCTAAAAATGAGGGATCTGGTAAAAATCCACTCAACTTTCCTTAAATGAGTACTTGGAATGAGTAATGAAAAATCCAGTTAATTTCCTCTTCCCAGCCAAATCCATTTTCACCTACCTCTGATTCATTCATTCTCACCCTAGTCTTCATTTTGTTCTCTTAAACTGATAGTGATGTGTGTGGGCTGAATGAACACATTACTCTTCAAAGTGATTTCAGAGGTTCACGTTCATCATGCTGTAACATAATGCTCTGAAACATTGCTCAGTCCAGCAATATTTGTCCAACTCTTTGCAGCATAAACTTGCACAGCTACACTCATTTCAGTTGGAGAGAAGTTGGCAAAATGTCAGCTGTTGAATTAAGTAAATTCACTATACTTTCATATGGTTCAGTATTCATCTGCATATAAACCACATTAATTTTCAACAGATCATACAGTTATATTACTACAATGCCATTCACAGCAATTAATCTTCTATTTAACTATGTATGCACTTGGAATTAAGGAATAAAAACGTAGACTGGAACTATATCCTTTTCAGAATCTTACCTTAATTTGCTTATACATTTAATAGACATTAATATAAAAAGTGCATTTCCTTGAGGAAGGACAGGAATGATAAGTGATTTATGATGGTTTATGTTGCATCAGGAGATTTTTCACAGTATATTTGCTAATTCCTCACTACTTAGATTTTTTTTTATTCCTTCATGAAAATTCTGGGTTCCACAGAAATGCACTTCTTAATTTCACCTCAGTTTAAACACATTTGTTGTAAATGCTAATATTAAAAGTTATTGTAACTTCTATATCTAAGGAGTACAACTGAAATATTGTGTGTACTTTCTAAAGAAAACCGATATAATTTTAAAGATTTCCATTTATCTGTTGGGGGTGTGTGTGTGTGTTTAAACTGAAATTGTGTTTTACCTCAGCTTTAAAAAAATCCCCAAGAAGTAATCTTTACAGGGCACAGACCATGTGAAGGGTGTATAAGATACTACTAATTCTTTTCTCTAAGCAATTATTTACACAACAATTATTTACACAATTATTTACAAATTATTTACAGAAGCAACAACGTTAGAGTTCTTTTAGTTGAAAAAAAAAAAATCCCTCAGGACACAAACCCATTAATTTACCGTAAGTAGAAATCTTCCTTGTGTGATCTTTTTGGAAAGTCAGGAAATATCAGCTGTTGTGTGATATGATATCTTTATTGCAAACATAATACACAAGCTAATGCTTTTTGTTACTGATACAGAATGAGGTCATAGGAAACTACATAAGGGCTTCCATAAAGAACCTTCAAGCAAATGGAATCTATTAATAAATACATAAATGCAAATGTATTCTTGTACAACTATATGTTGTGTGCATGAGTTCATGTATATTCAGTGGACTGTTAGTTTAGCATGTATTCATTCTAAGCAGGAGATTCATGACTGCCAGTTCCTTCCTCTGTCCTCTCTGTATCATGCTAATATATTAATGAATTGCACAAGAATTCCCTGATATGTACAGTAATTTGATATCCAGCCTACTTAAAAAAAAATCCATGAGCAGTCGGATGATAGGACAAATGTCACAGATACACATTGAACCATTAACTTTGTTAAGCAAAAACACAGTTGGCATTTTACCAGTGTTGTAAACTCTGTTTTGAGATTTTGTGACAAGCAAAATTATGTACTTCTGTAGCACTTTGGACCAAGGCCTTAAAAAAATCTTTACAAATTCTACAGTTCTCTCAATGTCCCTTCAAGGTAGGTTGCTGGGCGTTGTACTTTCAACTGAGGAGCATATTAACATTAGTTTGCCTGTGCTAAAATTTTTTGTTTGCTAGTACTAGTTTACCTCCACCAGCAAACTCAGTATTGCCATGTAACTTGGTTGCTGTCGTCACTATTGTCATGAGTAGAACATTACCTAAGGGCAATCAGAGGCATGATGTTTGCTGCAGCTCCTCCAAGTGAAGTAAGTGTAAGCCTTTGCTTATCTGTAGAAAAGATCCACTGGAGAAGGCTTTCACATTTTTTCTAGCACAGCTGCAGGTATTTTTGATCTATGACACATTTGTCTTAACAGCGTGTTTAGCTTCAACACTTTCAACAGTAAGGTTTATTTCTAACCCAGTTATCATCTTAGGGAACTAGATTTGGGAAGAATCACATTAGTGCCTTTTTATTAGCTGCCAACTGAAATGTTTAATTGTGATGTGATGGTACTTGGGATGAGTTGTGATAACAAAATCAGTGCTGACAGCTTGTCTCTGATAAAGTTCATTGTTCTCCTAATGTAAAAAATGGAACTGACATTAACAACTAGGAACTGCTGCTATCCCCAGGGCTCAGCAACAGGTTACACAGATGATCAGCAGCTACTTACTTCCAACTGTTCCAGTTCTCTCTCTATAATGGCAATGCACAAAAATGTGACTCATTGGCCAGAGCCATTTATAGGACCTTTAAAAAACTGAGGAGCAAATTCTAAAGGACATTTGGGTGCCTAAGTCATACTCTGAAGAAAAAAAAAAAAAGTAGGATTTCAGCTGTTACACACTGAAATATTCTTCAGGTCTTTGTCTACATTTCCTAAAAGTAAAGAAAGTATCTCGCTATCTGTCGTGCTTCCTAAAAAGAGTTGCCAATTCCATCTTCAGATCGGCTCCTGGTTTAAAAATATCCTACATAAGAAAGCAGGGGAAACAAACAAACAAAAAAAACCCAACCAAAAATGTTTCATTGTTTGAAGAGAGGGTCCAGGGCAAGGCCTGCACTTGCTTTGAGGTAATAATAACTGAATCTTCGGTGCATTAACTCAAGAGAACTTTGCTCCTTGAGCTCCTTACCTAAGTCATACTAATATGTGATAATGACAGACACCCTTTATAACAATGATGTTCCAAGCAAATTTATTGTTTTAACTAACCAGTTATTCGATTTCTAGAGTGTCTGTGCCGGCCACTCCCAAGTGACTGAAATAATCAAAATAATTTCCTGATCCTCCCAACATTTTAAAGGAAAGCTCTATCACGTTCATTTTCGAACTCTTGATAAAACCACCTGCCATGTAAGCAAAACAAAAAGGTAGCATTTTTCCACGGAAAGCCAGAGAGGCGGTGGGCTGCACATGTGGGCAGCTGCAGAGCATCCAGCCGAGGAGAGGAGCTGCTGCCGCAGCTGGGTGCGGTGCGGTGCGGTGACAGGGTCCCAGGGTGACAGGGTGGCAGGGTGACAGGGTGAAGTCGGCGCAGCTCGCCGGGAACACGCCGCTTCTCTGCCTTTTTGCTGCAGGGTGATGACTGTGGTGGGTCCGCCTGCCCGAAGAACACAGCGGGGACCCGCCGGGATAGCAGGCAAATCCTATCAGAAAGAAAGAAGGCT